GGGGGGGGGGGGGGGGGGAGCACCAAAAGCCTACAAACCAAAGTAGGGGCTGGAGAGGAGGGTCTAAATAAATAAGCCCCCTCCCCTAAAATTTTGAAATAAATTCCAAATACAACGATTCATTTTGGCGCATAACTGAACTTATTTTTGTATCAATCTAATTAATTTCTTAATTAGTAAATATATAATTTTTTAAAGATGCTGATGCTACGTACTGACGCTTACCATCACAAAAAATTATTTACTATATATACTGCTCCCTGGGTGTGAGTTGTGGTACTGAGTTATACTAGGATCAGGACAGAATGGCTAAAGAAGCAGTTTGTCCATTCTGGCTTTTTTAATGGAAAAAAATTGCAAGTATTAAATGGGCATTTGGTTCCGCATTTTATTTTTTTATTATTGTCATCGTACTACATGTTCAATCCTTTATCCCACATGGCTCAAGAGGCCCCAGCATACCACAATCACTAACTTTAGAAATGTTGACAGAACCTAATGCCTCAAACGCCTTAATCTGAGCATGCATCATACCTAGGAAAAATCATAGTGCAAAAACATGATATTAATCAAATTCATAGCGCAATGGTGGATTTAATATTAGACAAGACGAATCCATATCTTTTGGGTAAGAAATCCTGAAAAGTGTCAAAAAATAAAATCTTTAAAATTATAATTTAAATATTATATTGATTTATTGAACTTAGACTAATAATAAAATGTATTTACAATTATATGCATAAAATCACAATTGCTGAATTTTAAGTTATTTTTTAAATTTTTTTATCTTTATTAAGTGGCTGCTTCTCCTGGGCCCCTAACAAATGGAAGATGTATTTCTCTTTTTTGTTTTGTTTTTAACTCTTAGTAAATTTCAACAGAATTTTTGTGCAACTAGGAAGACTAAAGCATGCTTTTATTTCTGGCTCTGTTAGTAGTCGTTTGTGCATCCATATACTGGCATCTGTGCAACGGTTGGGGAAGCGATGTTGCTATTCTAACACTTAAAAGCTCCTAGCAGATGCTAGGGTAGCCTTGAAACTGCGACCGATGTCGAGTCCACGGTGGCATTGTCCAGGTGGTTCCAAGCGATTATTGTGCGTTGTCAGTGGTGAAATCAGTGTTTTAGTGAGCGTTTGGCTCTGATTAATCCACCTGGCTTCTGTGGGGTGAGGTATGTGTTTGCTGGGATGGGCGACACTAGCCCCATGATCACTTTATATAAGAATATTAGGCGGAGCTTTTCTAGTCTGTCTTTAAGGGATGGGATGTCAAATCTTTTTAAGAGGCCAGGAGTGGGGGATTCGTAGTCAGTGTGATGAAGCGCATCGCGTTACGTTGGATTCGCTCCATCTTGTCCACGTCTTGCTTTAGCTGTGGGTCCCAGATGATCGCACCATATTCTAGTAGTGGACAGACGAGTGCAAGATAGGCATTTATTGTTTGCAGGAAGTTGGGCAGTGGTGCAAATTTCTTCGAATTAAACCTAGTGTGGAGTTGGCTTTTTAAAAAAAAATTTTATATTTATATTTTTAAAAATATAGACCTATATTATTGCAGCTATCATTGAGTTTGTCATCAAATGAAAATATCTATACAATTTTTCCTTTTTAATGACTATCACAAATTGATGGCTTGTTTCTTTTCTACTTTGCTCCTTTTTTCCACTCAATAATAATTTTTAACTAGGTCAAAATAAAAGGCTTAAATACACTATATAGAAATTGAGCCAATTTTTCATAGTTTTAGTATCTCATGAGTAGAAATTGATGGTAAAATTATATTATGCCCTGCATCCTTTATTCCCTTTCTTTTCATTACACTGGGCCAAATATGTCGCCCAACCCATGTAGAGGAAAAAACACCACCAAGGGCGGACTGTCCCCCCTCTCCCCTCCTACACCACTGATGGCAAGTACATTCCAATCCAATAATATAAATTCTGTATATTTGTCCTTATAGGCTATTTATCCCAAAATGGTTTTCTTTATACAAAAAAAATTGTTTAAAAAAGTAATTTATAGAAAAAGATCAATTTAAAGTTGAAAAGTTTTATTCAAAAAAGTCTGTAAAATTAATCTCAAATCACATCATTAAACTTATGTAAAAACCAAACAACCAATAGTCTTTTATCTTTCTCAATTAGCAGTGTTAAATAAAACCAGTCACACTTAGCTTAGAACAATATAATACTCATCAACTAAATGTTGTAAGAAGTAAAACTCCTTGTAAACCTAAAACACTTCTGTATGGAAAAATCAGAATAAAATAATAAAAAATTCCTTTTGACCAGCGGTTCTCAACATGTGGGTTGTGACCTCTTTTGGGGTCAAACAAAGCGGTCGCCTATGATCATCGGAAAACACATGAAGTAGCACCAAAAATAATTTTATGGTTGGGGGTCCCCCACAACATGAGGAACTTTATTAAAGGGTCTCAGCATCAGGAAGGTTGAGAACCACTGCCTTCAGTTTGATTATTTATAATTGCATGGTCAATGGTACCGTAGTGTGCAAAAAACTTATAAAATTTAACTTTCTTTCAATTTATAATTAAATGAACAGGAATGTAACAGGAACAGATGCTTCTGTTTAAGTATAATGTTTAAGTATAAGTCTATAAGTAGAATATATTATTTCCTGACAATACTGAATTTTTATTTTGTTCCACTGGTTGATAATAAAAGCATAGGAAACAAGTATTATAAATAATATACATCTAAAATATAAATAATATATTACCATAATTAAGATATATGATGTATCACCATACTCTATTGAATTATAAATTACAACTTACAAATTTATTTATTTTTACATGGCATTACATTTTTTTTTTGCTAAAAAAGGCATAATTTAATATTTAGTTTTTATGATCCATAATTACTGCCACAAAAATTAATTGTTTTTGAAAAAGCAAAAAAATTCCCCAAAAATTTAATTTAAAAAATGCATTGCGGTAAATTTTTCTATTTTAATTATATTTACAGGAAGGCTTGGAAGTGGCATTATCAAGAATAGTCCCACTCATTAGGCCTACCAGTTTCTCGATTTGCATAATACCTGGCTTGCTAGGGACAATATTACTAGTGTCACAATTTTAAAAATGTTGATTCATGAATATTTCCAATCCTGAACCCTAAGGTTTTGCTATGGTAATAATAAATAAACTGGAGAGCTATAAAGCTGGCATACTTAAATCTGCATGCCATTTCTAGATTTGAACTGGTAAAAATTTTTGTTATTCAACAATATTTCACTACTAAAGCTTTGAGCTGGCTGAAGCTTGTTTGGATTTTTCTAAGTTGTAGATATCCAGAGCATTCCTGTAAGTTGCCTCTTTCATTCTAACCAGACTGTCTCGAGGAAATCCTGTCTTGCCATAGAAACTCTTAAGAACTCTGATGGATTCACTAAGGAGGAGGTTCTCTGAAGGCATGGCACTAATTAGGCCACATTGGAAGGCGTCCTCTGCTGTGTAGCGTCGGCCAAGTACGATTGCTTCACTCAAATTCTTGCCATGCCCTATTTTATCTCTGAAATGAATAAATGTGGATTATATTTTTAATGATGTGGATTTCAGGTGAGACGTTACTGCTTTCAAGAAAAGTTTATAAAGATAAACTTCAACAGCATAATTGGCTTCTTCAGTGGGTGCCTCACTAGTAAGGAAAACAAATTAATTCAACTTTTTGACACAGTATCACCATTTGGAATAAATCGAATTCTCTCTTATTAGTGCTCCTCAATTTCTCTGCATTTCTTTTTTTATTTCTTATATTTTACATATTTACGAAATATTTTTGTCCATTACAATCTTATTTTTCACAGTAATATTACATACATTTTTTTACTTCATGTAATCTTCGTTTTGAAAAAACAACTTCCAGCAATAACATTAATAGCAACCGCTTAAGTTTTTTAAATACTCTTAGAAAGGCTCTAAGCTGAAACTTTTTTTTTATTGTCCTGTCTCTCTATTTCAAGCTTCCACATACCGGTATCTATTAGCCTCACTACTAGAGTTTTTAAAATCTCATTTACTACAATTTCAATGGGAATTAAATTTCAATGCAAAAGCAACAAATAAAACATTGAATTATTACATTGCGGTAGTATTAGGTAACAAACATATATCAGCTAAAATTTTAAAATATATATATAATTTTTACAGGTTTTCTCAACTGCCTTAACTTAATTACAGGATAATTTTTGTAATGCTTTTTCAATAAATTTGGGGGAAAAGAAAAGCAGCCTCCATGTTTTCCATAATAATAATAAATAAATAAAAATAATAATAATAATAATAAAAATGTAATAAACTAAAACCATATTTAAT